GTTGTTCTTTAAGTCACAACAGTCCTCCTGCTTTAGCTTCCTGAGAGCTGGGACCACAGGTGTGAACTGCCATGTGTGGCTCCTTTAAAACATAAAATTAAAAATGTATTCATTTATTTTTATGTGTATGGGTGTCTTGCTTGCATCCATGTTTGTGCATCATATGTATCTGTGTCTATAGGGACCAGAAGAGGGCACTGGATCCCCTGGAACTGGAGTTATAGGAGCTTGTGAGTCATCATGTGGGTGCTGGGAACTGAATTCTGGAAGAGCAGCCAGTGCTCTTAACCACTGAGCAATCTCTCCAGCCCCCCCTTTCTTTCTTGATGAATGTGTTTAAAACTATATATTTTCTTCTATTAATCAAATTTTCTTTGCTCCACAAATTTTGCATGCAATACTTCCATTATCTTAAATATTTATTTTGTCTTTCATCTAAGGATTAGTGTCTCAAAACTGGGAGTTTTTTTTTCTAGTGTCTTGTTATTGCTAGTTTTATTACACATGGTCAGAGAATACACACACACACACACACACACACACACACACACACACAACTTTTCATAGTGCTGAGGCTCTAACCGGGCCTTGTACATTCTAGGCAAATATTCTAACACTTAGCCACACCTGCAACCTTTAATAGTGATGCTCTTTGTGCACTAAAAACTTGGTATCAAAGTTTTTAACTGTTAATATATAAAAGGCACATTTTCTATTTAAGTAAATTATATATTGGTTTTTGTTTTGTTTTGGTCAACTTGACAAAAGTCGTCTGAGCAGAGGAAACCCCATATGAGAAAATGCTTCCATTTGATTGGTCTGTAAGCAAGCCTATAGCACATTTTCTTGAAAAATGATTGATGGAAAGAGGGCCCAGTCCACAGTGGGCAGTGCCATCCCTGGGCAGATGGTTCTAGGTTGTATGAGCTGAACAAGGCATAGAGAGCAAGCCAGTAAAAAGCTGTGATGGCTATTCTTGGTTGACAATATGAGCACATCTGAAATTAACTAAATCCAAAATAGAGGGCACACCAGTAGGGGAAGTTTTGCTTAATTTGAGTAGGAAGGTCCACTTCTAATCTAGATCTTGAGGCTGAAAGATACATGTCTGGGTCTTGAGGTGGGAAGACACTCCTTTAATCTGGGCCTTGCCTTCTGCTGGAAGCCTATATGAGGACGTGGAAGAAGGAAGTTTTTGTTCTTTGTTTGCCTTCACCTTGCTAGCAAGACCATTCATTCCTTTACTAACATTAGAGCCTACTTCTTCAGGACTCCAGCATATGCTGAAGACCAGCTAAGACTGGCAGCTTTGCAGACTGAGCAACTACTGGGTTCTTGAACTTTCCATTTCCAGCCAGCCATTGTTGGGCTGCAGCCTGTAAACCATTCTAATCCCCTTCTTTATATAGAGAGATTAATCTCTAAGTTCTGTGACTCCAGGGAACCCTGACTAATAAAGCAACATCCCTTCCTCTCCAGAAGCTCTGTGCCAGTTCCTGCTCTAGGTGCCTTCGATTTTCCTTCATGATGAAAACTGTAAGGTGAAATAAACCCCTTTCTCCTCAGTTGCTTTTGCCCATGGTCTTTATCAATATAGCAATAGAAAGCAAATTAAGATAGAACTGATACACATATATCAATATTACTGTATCTATAGCTCTCTATATCTCAAGCTTAAAATGTGTTTGTGGCAGACATACCTTCCTTATCTGTATGAATCTTCTCTGTTTTGTAATTTTGTGTGTGTGCATGAGAGATGAAGAGAGAGGAGTGTGGGAGAGAAGGAGGGAGAGAGAGAGAGAGAGAGAGAGAGAGAGAGAGAGAGAGAACGAGAACACATGTTGACATCAGAGGACAACTTTCAGGAAGTAATGTTCTCTCCTACCTTGTGGGTCCTGGGTATAGAATTCTGGTCCTCCAGCAAGAGCCTTTATCCACTGGATTTCTTCAGTAAGAGAGAACAGGCAAAGACTTCTCCAACGCAACACTGAGAAAGGGTGGGCGCCATAATAACTTGCATTTTCCCCTAACATAGACTGTATTTGCTGCCTCCAGCCACCTGTCTCTCAAAACATACCAGTTCAAGACTGCCTCCTATGGAGCTAAAGAGATGGCTCAGCAGTTAAGAGCACTTCCAAAAGACCCAGGTTCAATTTCCATCACCCACATGGTAGCTCACAATTGTCTGTAACTCTGGTTCTAGCAACTCCAACACTCTCACACAGACATGCCGGCAAAACACCACTTCATTAAAAGCAAATAATTTTAAAAAGTTGAATAAAAGAAAGACTGATATTAAAAAGAAAAAAACTCTGCTTTTTATGTCCTCATGGGTCTCAGAACTGTGCTACAATTTCTGGAACCCATGTTTTCTTTAAAAAAAAATATATATATATAACTGGGTGGTAGTAGTCCATACCTTTAATCCCAGTATTCAGGAGGTAGAGGCAGGCAGATCTCTGTAAGTCTGAGGTCAGCCTCAGGGTGAATATATGTATATATTATATGTGTATGTATATATGTATTTGTATTTTATGCATGTATATATTTATATAATATACACACAAATATCAAACACATATGTTAATATACATAAAATATATACCTGCACATTTTTGATTTTCTGAGACAGAATTTCTCTGCATAGCCCTGGCTGTCCTGAAACTTGCTCTGTAGACCAGGGTGGACTCAGAGAGCCACCTGCCTCTGCCTCCCGAGTGCTGGGATTAAAGTTTTTGGCACCTCTGCCTGGTTCTAAGGAAACTCTTTTTAATTACATTATGCATTCTGTGTAATGGGGGCACATGTGGAGGTCGGAGGAAAACGTGCAGGAGTCGGTTCTCTCTTTTTACCATGTGAGTCCTGGGCATCAAACTCAGCTTATCAGTCTGGTTGGCAAACACCTGTACCCACTGAGCCACCTTGTCAGTCCTGGAACCTGTTTTCCCTCTGTTGTTTCTCTAGTAGTGCTTTCAACAGCTTATATCACTTGCCATCTTGGAATGGACCAGAAAGTCTAAGTATCCTAGAGAAAGAATAGAGGTTTCTGCCTTTCAGAGGCCAAGCCTCCTGCTCACAGCATTGATTCATTTGGCATTCTAAGGTCCAAGCTGTCATACACAGAATTGGCTTGTATGACCCTTTAAATATCAGTACTTGGAGCTGTAGAGATGGCTCACTGTTTTAAGAGTACTGGCTACTCTTCCAGAAGACCTGGACTTGGTTCCCAGCAGCCAAGTGGAAGCTCCCAACTATCTGTAACTCCAGTTCCAGGGGATCTGACACCATTTTCTGGCCTCTGCAAGCATCTGGCACATAAGTGGTACAGAGACATACATGCAGGCAACCATACACATAAAATTAAAGCTAATCATGGTGGCATATAACTTTAATCCCAGCACTCAGGAGGCAGAGGCAGGCAGATAGTTGAGTTTGAGGCCAGTCTACATAATCAAGTTCCAGGACAGCCAGGGCTAGAGATCCTGTCTCAAAGCAGAAACCAGAATTCATTAATAATAGAACATACTCCATAGGGAGTCGGCTAGTTACTGATGAAAGGAATATATAAAGTCTCCAGAAAGCCCTTACACTCTTATTATTATGGATAAGCCCCATGGGGTCCAAGACCCTTATTCAGTGCACACTTGGTAGAGCCACTGTTTGAATACCTTGCATACAAAAGATAGCCTTGTCCTGGTCTTCAAGTGACTACTCCTTCCCCATCAATACTAGGGGATAAGAACTTTTTAAGGGTCACCCTCACCCACATGGCAATGTGACAGGGGACAAGCAGATATTTTCCTTGATGTCCCATCATCCCTGGCAGCATAACTTCTAGTCAGACCTGGCATAGCTAGGTCATGATGTGGGGACCCCAGTTAGCTTACCCACCATCTATCATATCCCTAGTACAGGACAGTTTCCTTGAGAGAAAGCTCCTCCACATTCTGACTAGGTAAGTAGGCAAGAGGGGTTGCCTTTTATGAGACAGATTTTTCACTCTGTAGCCCAGGCTAGACTTGAACTTGTGATTCTCCTTTCATCTCCCAAGTAGCTGGGAATTATGTGCATACCACTGCTGCCCGATCAAGGACCTGACCTTTTTTTTAGATTTATTTTATTACACAAATGAGTGTTTTGCTTGCATGTGTGTGTATATATATGCCATGTGCATGCTTGGTGACCACAGAGGTCCTAAGAGAGTTAGATCTTTTGGAACTGGAGTTATGGATAGTTGTGAGCCACCATGTTGGTGCTCAGAACTGAATGCAGGTCTCTTGTAAGAGTAATGAGTATTCTTAGAAACTGAGCCATCCATCACTCAGTCCCAAGGACCTGATTTTTATCATTATCTTGCAAAGACTTAGGCAAACTGTTTTAGGGCTCAAGTTTCATCAGTGCTTGGTTTTTCTTATTCATATTAGTGGCAATATGCTGAGATGGTTAGGATAGGCATCATCAGCTGGAAACATAGCTTAGAGCTTAGAGCTCTAAGCATGGCATAGCATAGTCCCACAAGCTGGTTTTAAAGCACGTGGAAAGCTAAAAACCTTAGACCTCTGCACAGGGCTGCCAGCATCATGTACTGGACATGCCCCCAGAAAAAGAGTCTGGATTCTAGAAATGATGGGTGACCTAAATGATTCTCTTTTTGGGCCATAAATTCCCAGTTTTTGTAGTAAATCTTGCCTCTTTTCTTTTCTTTTCTTTTCTTTTCTTTTCTTTTCTTTCCTTCCTTCCTTCCTTCCTTCCTTCCTTCCTTCCTTCCTTCCTTCCTTCCTTTCTTTCTTTCTTTCTTTCTTTTTGAGACAGGGTTTCTGTGTATAACAGCTCCAGCAATCCTGGAACTCTCTGTAGACCAGGCTGGCCTTGAACTCAGAGATTCACCTGCCTCTGCCTCCTGAGTGCTGGAGTTAAAGGCGTGTGTCACCATGTCTGGCACAAATCCTGCCTCTTTTTGAGCTAGAAACTCTCTCTTCCTCATCTTTTTGTGCCTGGTCCTGAGATAACATTCACAGATATCAAATAGACCTTTATATTCTAGAAAGGCAGATATACCCTCAAAACCAACCAAGCAATAAAACAAACATAAGATTTAGCCTTTTCTAGAGCAGTTCCTGGGCTGGGTTCGGGTTCACCAATACCTGGTTTTCAACAGCTACTCCCCTGTGGCAGAGAAAGCAGGAGCCACTCTAAATCAATTGAGTTATTTCAGTCTCGTCAACCAAAGAGCCCACAGTAACTTCTATAATATCCAGGAAGTAGAAAAATACACGTGCCACAGTGATTTTTGTGTGTGTAAAGTATAGTTTAGAAACAAAACAACAAAAGCAGAAGAGGCCATAGCCTCCATGGGCAATGCCAACACTGAGCCACACACACTCAAACCCAGTGAGAGGGCCCCAGGCTTCAACATGTCTGGGGATGGCAGGCAGGGAATAATGCCCTGTGTAGACCCTCAAGACAAAGAATGGAGTACCAATGGGGTTGGAAAGCTGGAAGGATTACAATCAAGATGGAGCTGTGGCCTCAGCCCCCTCTTCAGAGTCCCACACTTCAGACTGCAGATAATCAGCAAAGAGAGCCTTGGCCCTGCGCAAGACACGCCCTAAATGGTGTTTTCGCACCAGGCGGTCAAAATGCATGGCTAGCTCATTGTAATCCAGCCCATTGCGCATGATGTGATCACGGTGCTCCAGCAAGATAGCCAGGCAGAGGAAGAGCATGAATGGGTTCCCTCGGCCAAACTCCTGGGGTGGGGGAAGGCCCATTGGAGGTGGGGGTGGTAGGGACTTCCCAGGATCTCTGGGAGATCCTACATCTTGCATCAAGGGGGATCCTACAGCTATGTCACCAGAAGGAGAAGCCTCCTGGGTAGATGGAGGAGATGAAGAAGATGGGGAATCAGGCCGAGAAGAGGAGGAGAGGAGTGGGTCTGGGGAGTTTAGCAAGGGCTCAGAGAGGGACTTAGAGCTAATGAGGGTAGCTGGGTGGGCTAGTTGGACTAGAAAGTCCTTCCTGGGGCCCATGTTATCCCTGAGTTGCTGGAGACCATCCAGACTGGCTTGTCTCAGGAGACGTCCCCCACCACTGGGTCCCTGGCTAGATGTGGCTAAGTGGACAACAGCATCTTCAAAAGCACTGCTTCCTCCACCAGCAGGCCTCAGCATGTGCCTCTGACGTACTGGCCGTCCCCTGTGGCTACCAAAGCCAGTGTCTGCCACTTGGCTCGGAGGTCCAACAAGTTCCACTTCATGTTCAGGAGGGTCAGGGGGCAGTGAACTCCAGGTGACCTCTAGCATTCGGAGAGCATCATCAAAGGCAAATTCGCGCTTAAGCTCCAGCAGCAACCAGCGGTAACAGAAAAAAAGGTCATCAGCTCCTGCTTCTTGTAGGTACTGGTAGAAGTCTGGGTCAGCATGTCTCAATAGCAACTTGAGGTGGGCAAACTTGGTGGCCATGGCACGACCATCAGGATGGAAGTTGGCAGCCAGACGCTTCATGATGCCACAAAAGCATACAAAAGCATGCCCTTCATGGTCCATGACAGCAAGGATGGGCGATGCCAGGTCACTCATTCCCTGGCAGTATGATACCTGTGGATGGGTAACAGCATAGGTAGTAAGCAGGTCATGTAGGGCCCGTAGGTGTGGGCCATCCTCAGGTCCCGCGTAGTAGGGATGGGCTCTGTCTGTGCGAAGCACATCCTTGAGGACTGTGCTGCGGATGAATTCTAGGTCCTCAGGGTTCACTCGCTGGGCCCACTCGCTTTTGAGCTGCTCGTACTCGCGACTCTTTCGTTTCATGTAGTCCATCCTCTCACGGCCTGTCAGCCCATCTGGGTACACATTCAGGAGGTACCGCCATACCACCTAGCCAGAGACAAAAGGAGATGAGGCTGAGCTTCAACTAGGGAGCTGCCATACCCATGTCTCTAGTCAGCACCCACCCTGTCTCTCGTGGCCTCTGTCCTTGTGGTAGTCTGTCTTCCTGCCACTGACCTACCTGAAATAGAACCTCTGTCCTTGGAATCTCTCTACCCTACCTATGATAATGTGTTCCACTGGATGTCTCTCATGAGCCACCACAGAGTGATGAGTGACCGAGGGGGCTCACTTTTCGAAGGGAAGGCTCCACACCACCATGATAGATCCGCAAACGCAATTCTTCAGGACGGGAGAGCTGGCCTTCGTGATTCAGGTATGTGTGAAACTCAGCATCGCTCAGAGGGGGCTTGAAAGGCTTGACATCTTCCCCATATGACCAACTCAGCACCTGCTGGACCTTAGACAATGTACGGCCCACCTGGCAAGGAAGGAGGAAAAGAAGCTGCAGGTCCCTATGCAGGATAGGGCAGATGCCAACCAGCAAACTCTGGAATGGGAGTCCCAGATAGGCCTTTCCCTCCAACCCCAACTGGGGCCCCCCAGTCTCCTGAAATCACCTGAGACAGGATGGATTGTGTAAAAGGCAAGGCAGCTGTCGTCAGTGAGGAACGCTTCTCAGCCAGTAGCATATCGGATCCAATGACATCTTTGGGGCTAATTATGTCCCAGTCCTCCAGCAATGGGCCTGAGCACACAGAGTGAAGCACTATAACAACAGGTATGTGAACCCAGATCCTAAAGCCTAGCTACATGCCGGGTAATAAGCGATGTCTATTCCCTCTTCCCTGTATCATCCATATAACATTAAAAAAATCAGCTATGAATAGTTCTTACATGAGAAATGTTTCACAAAATGGCAGGGAAGTCTTTAATATTTCAATGATTTAAGTAATATTTATTGCAAGGCACTGAAGCAACGGATTAACCTTAAGAAAAAATAATATCTATTGAGCCTGGCAGTGCAGGTCTGTAATCTCAGTTACTTTGGAGGCTGAGGTAGGAAGATGGAGAGTTCAAGGCCAGTGCTTGGGCTAGGAGATTCTATCTCATTAAAAAAAATACTTGATGGCCTGGTGGTGCATGCCTTTAATGTCAGCACTTGGAAGGCAAAGACAGGTAGATCTCTGTGAGTTTGAGGCCAGCCTGGTCTACAAAGCACATTCCAGGACAGCCAGAGCTACACAGTAAGACCTTGTCTCAAAAAAAAAAAATAAATAAACCCGGTGGTCAGTGAGATGACTCAGTGAGTAAAGGCACATGCCACCAAGTCTGAGAACCCGAGTTCAATCCCATGCTACAGGTTGTCCTCTCACCTTCAGATACTCAGTTCTATGGAAATACTAGCTAGTATTCTTTTTAAAATATATTTATTTGTGAGTGTGGATGGGACAGTCCTGGGAAATCAAACCCAGGGCATCACATGTTCGATGCCAGTGCTCTACTGCTGAGCTACATCATGAGACTTCTTTAAAAAACCTTTTTTGAAACAGTATCTCATTAAGTTCCCCAGGCTGTCCCTGAACTTATTCTAGTCCAGGCAGGCCTTAAACCAACTTATGCCTTAGCTTCCCCAATACCTAAAATTAAAGGACTATAGGTGTGGATTTAATAAATCCACCCCTCTTGGATTTATTTTTTTTGATGAGGAAATAGGTCTATAGATTCTTGTTCAAGGTCCCACACCTAGTGAATGAAAGAAGTGGAGTATGAAGCCCAGGCCCAAAGTAATGTGGGATTCTCTCTGTATGCTGTGAATACCATTGCTTAATAAAGAATCTGTCTTGGGCCTGGCAGAGCAGAATAGCTGGGAGAAAGAAGGCGGAGAAACCATGTAACCCTACCAGAGACAGATGCCGGATGGAACCTTGCCAGTAAGTCGCAGTCATGTGACAATACACAGATTAAGAGAAACGGGTTAAATTAAGATGTAAGAGTTAGCCAGTAAGAAGCAAAAGCTAATAGGCCAAGCAGTGATTTATTAATACAGTTTCTGTGTTGTTATTTTGGGGCTGAGCAGCCGGGAACAAACAAGTGGTGTCCTTACAACACCAAAGTCTGAGAGCATACACTCCACATCTTACATCAATAATAGTTCTTGTCACCAAAATGATAGAAGGTGCTATTACCATTCCAGTTTAACAGAAAATGACCAAAAAGGTTTGGAACAACTAGTTAGTGACCAAGATTCTATAGCCGGGAAACGCTAAATTCCTATTTCTAGGATCATAGCCTCATTAACCTTACCCCATAGCCTAGACATATCTTGGAAAAAGTGTCAGTGGAAAAGTATGTTGTGTATGTTTGACAAAGGAAATCATTCTATGCTTGACCTTAGCCACTCCTGGTTCATGAACATCAGCAGAGATTTCGTTCTTCTCTATTTTTATTTCCTCTTGCAGCTTTGTTTACTATAGTTTCCTTTATTATCTTTTAATATTTTTTACAGTTTCATATGACATGTTTTTAAATTGTATCTATCTATCTATCTATCTATCTATTTTATGTGCATTGGTGTTTTGCCGTGGGTGTCAGGTCCCCTGGAACTGGAATTACAGACAGTTGTGAGCTACCATCTAGGCACTGGGAATTGAACCTGAGTCTTTTTTTTTATATTTATTCATTTATTATGCATTCAATATCTGCAGGCCAGAGAGGGCACCAGATCTCATTACAGATGGTTGTGAGCCACCATATGGTTGTATGGTTGCTGGGAATTGAACTCAAGACCTTTGGAAGAGCAGGCAATGCTCTTAACCACTGAGCCATCTCTCCAGCCCCGAACCTGAGTCTTTTGGAAGAGCAGCCAGTGTTCTTAACCTCTGAGCCATCTCTACATTAGGCCCCCTTTTTCTTTTTTAAATTAAGTTTTTTAAGTTAGCATACAAAGTCATGGGCTTCATTATGACATTTCCATAAACACATATAAAAATACTTTGTTCTTATTCCTCCCCCTTCCCGCTGCCCTCCCCTATCCCCTAGCCTCCTCTTGCTGGTCTCCTGTTTCCATGTCACATGTATTCTATTATCCTCTCCCCTTCCCTTAGGAGCTCTTCCTCATCTCTCTTCTCACTTCAGATATGATGTGGCTACAGCAGCAATTGTCACCTGTGGGGTAAGTTCAAGAATCCTTTTTTTGTTTTGTTTTTCCAAGACAGGGTTTCTCTATATAGCTTTGGATCCTGTCCTGGAACTTGCTCTGTAGACCAGGCTGGCCTCACACTCACAGAGATTCATCTGCTTCTGCCTCCCGAGTGCTGGGATTAAAGGTGTGTGCCACCACCACCTGGCTCAAGAATGCTTTTTTAAATTTAAAATTAAAAATAATCTTTTTTATGTATATGGGTTTTTGCCTGCATGTGTATCTGTGTGTCATATGCATGCCTGGTGCCCAGGAAGGCCAGAAGAGGGCATCAAGATCTCTTGGAACTAGAGTTACAGAAGGTTGTGAGCTGTCACATGGATGCTTGGAATTGAACCTGGGTCTTCTGGAAGAGCAGCCAGGGCTCTTAAACCGCTTTAGCTCCATAGAAGGCAGTCTCCAATCTAGCAAGATTTTCTTTCACTTTTCCTTTGAACTATGTGTCTTTTTGGAGGTATACACACATAAGTGTAGGTGCCTGCAGACTCAGAAGTCTTGGGGTGCCCTGGAGCTAGAGGTGGTGAGTCACTATATGTGGGTGCTGGGAAGTGAACGCAGGACCCTTGAAAGAAGAGCAAGCACTCTTTTTAAAAAGGATTTATTTTCTTTTGAATTCTGTGTGCTTGCACTGGGGTATGTGCATGTAAAGCAGAGATAACCATGGAATTCAGGAGAAGGTCTCCTATCCCCTGGAGCTGGAATTATCAGCAGCTGTGAGCCATCTGACAAGGGTGCTGGGAACCAAATTTGGGGCCTCTAGAAGAGCAATATGTTGGTCTTAACCAGTTAGTCATCTCTCTAACCTCATTTTTAAATTTAAAATTACATTTATTGCCTGATGTGGTGGTGCATGCCTATATTCCCAGAACTCAGAAGGCAGAGGCCGGAGGATCTCTGTGAGTTCAAGGCCAGCCTGGTCTACAGAGTGAGTTCCAGGACAGGATCCAAAGCTACAGAGAAACCCTGTCTCAAAAACCAAAGGACAAAAAAGAATTGTAATAGCTATCAACTGGCAGCACAGTGTTGCAAAAGCTAACAACATCCAATGGTCAATTCTGTTATATGGATAATTCTATGAAGCATGTAACTACATGAAACACATCAACTTCTATTTGCTTCTGTCACTGCCATTTGCAGGTCAATGGCACCCCTGGTCAGTGGCACCCCTAAGTAGCATTTTCATGACTCATAGTCCTTTTTTCCACATAGCTAAAGGAAAAAGTCACATCTAAAGCCATTGCCTCTACATAAATATCTCTGAGGGTACAAAGCTAAGGGGCCACAAAGGAGAGGCAGAGAACCCTTCCCAGCACAGCCATTCCCTTTTTCTTCAACTGTTCAATTGCCAGTAACCTTGACCTATCCCTGCCCGCTCCCATTCCCTCAGTCCCCAAATCCAGTGTTGCCAAGCCCTGAGGCTTATATATGTAAAACACATTTCAATACCAACTCATTGTTCCTCCACCTTGTGACCCTATGTGAGCCACTACCCCAGATACCTCAGACTGCTGCTTCCTAACCAGCTCCTTTTGTGTGCCTCCCACCCCAACAGCTAGCTGCCAGTGTGGTCTAGCTAAATTATTAAAACACTTTCCAGGTAAGATGAAGGCTGTACAACTTACCAAATTAAGAAACTACTGTAAAATAGAATTAAGGTTACAGGCCAGGCGGTGGTGACGCATGCCATTAATCCCAGCACTAGGGAGGCAGGAGGCAGGCGAATCTCTGTGAGTTCGAGGCCAGCCTGGTCTAAATAGAGCTAGTTCCAGGACAGGCTCCAAAGCTACAGAGAAACCCTGTCTTGGAAAACAAACAAACAAACAAAGAATTAAGGTTACATGGTTTTGGCAAAAATGTAAAAAGACCTGGAATTCAAGCCTGGGGGATCCAATATGCAAATACCAAAAAATGAAGAGAATAAAAGATCAGGTGAAGATCTTAGAATTAAACAGGCAACAAGTATAATGTAAATTTTTCTGATGTAAAGAAATGGCTCAGTGGTTAAGAGCACTGGCTGCCATTCCAGAGGACTGGGGTTAAGCACCTACATGGCAACTCACAACCATCTGTAATTCCAGTTCCAAGTAATCGGACCCCTTCTTCTGGTTTCTACAGGCACTGTACACATATGGTGCACAGATATATGCAGGCAAAACACCCATACACATGAAATAAATCTCAAAAAATTAAAAATAAACAAAACTTCAGATCATTTTAGGCAAGGTGTGGTGGCATATGCCTTTAATCTCTGCACTTAGGAGACAGAGGCAGGCAGATTGCCGAGTTTGAGGCCAGTCTGGTCTACATAGTGAGGACAATCAGGGTTGCAGCCCAGGCTGGTTTCAAACTTGCTATATACACTAGGCTGCCTGCTTCTGCCTCCTGAGTGCTGGGATTATAGACATGTATCACCAAGCCAGGCATATTATACTATACTTATCATTAAAGTATACTTCTATTTATTTAAAAATCAAAGTTTAGCAACCACCATGCATGGTAGCACATGTCCATAATCACAACACTCAGGAGATTGAAACCAAATGACT